TTAAATATTAATCTCTTGAAGCTGAAAATTAAAATGATAAAGAGTAAGCTCATTTGTTTGTATCTTAGTTAAGATGATTCTTGTCTTTTGGTCTCAGGTCCTTAGCAACGAAGACTACCTAGAAGAAGTCTACTCAGTAACTCCTCTTGGTCGGCTTGGCGAACCGAGAGAGGTGTCTTCTGCAGTGGCTTTTTTATGCCTACCTGCATCATCATATATTACAGGGCAGATTATTTATGTTGATGGAGGAATGTCAATAAACGGTTTCTTCCCACAACATGAGTAGGCCACTCTGTCGTTTTACTAGTTTCCTTGGGATCCGTTGTTTGATCTGTAGTATATCTCATTTCTCCTGTGAAAGCAATTCGTCGATTGATACTAAACAGCTTTCTGCCTTCTACTTACATGAGAATTTTAGTTGTGTTAAAAAGTCTACTGTTAATGAAAAGGATAATTTAGCATCAGTTAGCGTGATTAAGTTTCCCATATCTATTACTTATTATCTTGATTGTGTATGTGATGGAAAGGTGCTGAGGAACTTTTCATGTTATGACTTTTGTGATAACAAAGACTTAATGTTTCCTCAATGAGTGTTCATTGGCTTGTATTTGGTGTCATCTTTTTGGTTTTGCTTTCACTGTGTCCTGAACCTGCACTCATATGCAAGAACGACCGAGAAAGAGGGAGGTTCCAGAGACAACAGGAGGAGTCTTCAATGAATTACTTCCCTTGTATTTGATGGAGCCTGTGAGATTGGGTCAGTCTCCTTCTTCCCTGTGAATTTCTTACGGCATTTAGTTCTACTTTTGTTTAATGTCAGAAGTGATTAGGAGACTCATATTTTTTTTTTTAAATATCGATGGGAATTAATATCTGAATATATTCTCTTATGGTCAGTGAAATTCAATTTTTTCGATATTGGATTGGTTTATCATTTGATTAGAATCCTATCTTTTAGTCATAAATGTCAGTATAAGACTGAGAGGGACAGTTGAGGGCCTTGAGGCATTATCTTTTAAAGTACTTTTCAGTACAATGTTTGAGGCATTATGGAATCTCTAGGTTTTGGTTTGTTTTTAGGGACAGTTGTGGTTTCTCTCAAATAATTCTTGATTCTAGGCATTGTAATTCGATCTCATTTAGGAATTAACGAGGTTCTTATCAAAGACATGCACCCACGGTGAAGTGAACAATGAAAGCTAGTTGGATTTTGAGAAGCACTTCTGTTGTATTTTCCTCTTTTCTCTAGGTACAAAAAAGGTTTGAAACTTGGAATCCTAACTCAGCTACAATTTACTGGATAGTATTATCCGCATACACG